CCGCAGGTGGCCGACCACTGCCCTAGCTGGTTTGGCTCAGTAGCTAGAGCATCAGCCTGTGGACTGAAGGGTCCCGGGTTCGATTCCGGTCAAGGGCACATACCTCTGTCAGCCTGGGCCCTGGTCGGGGCTCATGTGGAAGGCGACCAATTGGTGTGTTTCTCTCACATCGATGTTTCTCCCTGTCTTTCCCTCTCTCTTCCACTCTAAGTATCAATGGAAAAATGTCCTCGGGTGAGGACAAAAATAAATATTCTTTCTGTGGGACTGAGGGCTCTATTTCAAAGCCAAGCACTATGTAAGATAAAATCAATTCTAAAAGTTGGTTCTGTTCTATGTGGCTTTAAAAAACACACACAATCTAACACTAATCACACTTCTTTGAAAAGTAACAAGCTACACATCTCCCCTCCACTTATATCTTTGTAGAAACGGCACCGGGGACCTCCCTGCGGCAACACAAATGGGCATGTGAAGGGGAACAGATGTATCCATGGTACTCTGTGCTTGGGTTTGAAGAGGCAAACACCAAGTAACCACAACAGAACGGTCACTCGGGAGCCCATCCACATGGCGACCAGAACGACAATAGTGGGGTGATTCCTGCAGTGGACGCTGTAGGCATTCCGGTCAGAGGACAGGAAGACAGACTCCCCTACGCAGCTCATTCTGTACTTTTATTCCAACAAACTGTGGCACGCTGAGAAGTCAGAGCTGTCAACTTTTCCTGGTATATGTTTCTACCCTGGAAGGGGGTCTCTCACCCGCCCTGCAGCCTTCGGAAAACCCATTCCTCCAAAGCAGCAAAAGCGGTAAGGTTTGCAAGAAACACAACAGCAGAGGTACCTCTATAAAACTTTCTCTCTTTCTCATTTGCCTAATTTTAAAAGCATGCAGTCTATTAAATTAGTTTCAGCGCCGGGCTCTGCCAATATAAGGCAACTTCAGTAGACAAAAAAAAAAAAGTAAATCTGAATTGCTTACCTTTGATATGCCTGAGGAGAGGCGGGAGGTGTATTGAACACATGAGGGTGTGGGTGATAAGGTGTCTTTTTCAAAGCCTGAATTAGATTTTGTCTATACTCCGGGTCTATGCACCACAATGACCCTTTCCCAATACTCTGCAAAGAAAATGAAAATACAACAGTGATTAGTACAGAAAGTATTATTTTGCATGAAGTAGATGTGTAGCGATTTTCATCATTACTTATTTAAGAAAATTAATATACAAAAGTGAGTAGTACAGGAAATATTACTTTGCATGAAGTAGATATATAGCTACTATTATTCACTTATTTTTTGAAAGCCTCTCTCACTTATTTGTCAACTGTTTGCCAGCCGTAAATACCGTAGTATTATAATTACACTCGGACAACAGAAACCAGAACCTGTGCTTCAGTTTAACTCGTGTGAAGTCTGACAGACAAAATGAACATGTTATTACCAGGTGAGGTTGAGACAGTAATATTGTCGTGTTCATATAACGGCCAAAAACACTTATAGATTCCTTTACTATTTTTCAGTGTCCACTTTGAAGGACACGTATTCATTCTCTTCTAAAAATGAATTTTAAATGTCAGATTTGAAACAGTGAAAGGAAACGTGGGCTAAGGATGCCTCTCCAGCTCCGCTTTAGAAAAACAAGAATTGTTGTTGTTTTTAAACCCTGTTACACGGTACTACTTTGCAAGCCAGAAAAGTAATCTGCTCCTTTTTTCCTACTGACTTGCAAAAGTATGACATTTAAGCTTGCAGTGGAATTCTGTAATTCTCCCCCGAGAAACAGAAGAACCGGGGCTGCGGTAAACCTAAGCCAGCCTGCATTTATCTCCCGATTCCTCTGTTCCCAGCGCTCTGCTCCAGGCCTAACGGGGTTGTCTTTAGAAGTCCAACTTTAAAATGCAAATTTTATAAAACTGGTTACATGGAATGAGAAAGACTTGCTGAGGCCCACTTTCTGCGGGAGGCTTTTGGTCTGTGGACGGCGTTTTATTTAAAAAAAAAAAAAGTCTCTCCCGCGAGGCCCATGGGACTGGCAGCTGGCCGATGGGCAGTCCTGCTCCAACTGCTTTCAAGTGACCGAATGTACCGGGGCTGTTTGATAAGGTCATTTGTAAATATTTACTGATTTGGAGAGAAAAGAAGTCAAATTACATAAACCCATGCCCACCCCATGTTTCCAGCCAACGGACTCTCTTATTTTCAGAACTATTGTACTCCAGGAAGATTTAGAGAGCAAACAAGAAAATTGCTTCACTATTACTGGGGAGTGGGTGGGGGAGCCCAAGAAAATCTCTGAGGAAAATAAGTGAGTCTGAAAATCTTTAAAGAAGCTTAAAAATATGTGTATTTCAGTCAGTTCACCACATCATTTACTTACAAACTTATTCACAGAATGCATTAGAATTCTTTACTAGCAGCACGATCAGCAAGCAGGGGAGCCGCGATGAACTCTTGCTGGTGGGCTGAGGGCAGGGAACTGCTCAAGGTCAAGGTCAGAAGCAGGAGCCCGTCACCCCAGTCACCCGCTCCCAGGCGCAGCCCTGACCCCAAACACAGGTCTGTCAGACCCACGTTCCCAGTTAATCACCCCGCTGTGTAAAAATGCCAAAGATTTCAACTTGGGAAAATCCAACATCCCTTTGTGGCCTTTTCTTTCATGTGTCCATTTCCAAGCCCAGAGCATGCATGTCAAACTCACGGCTGGTGGGCCACAAACAAGGTATGTGGCCCGCCGGCCACGGGTCTGACATGCTTGAGTGCAGGGAACTGAGGAGACTTTACGGTTAAAGCAGTTAGGCCACCAAATGATCTACTGTGGACCCTCTGTTCTTTTCTTTGGAAAAGACGTACTCAACTCGCTTTTTAGAAGAAAGCGAAAAGCTACGGGATGTGGAGGAAGAGAGGGGGCAGGGTAGACCATAACTACCGAATGTGGATAATGTCAAGCAAAGCACAAAAGCCCCCAAGAGCCAGCAACTCCTGTGCAGTGGGGTCCTGCCCTGACCGCATCCAAGACCCATGGGGGGCCCAGTGGGACCTGCCTTTCTGATCCACTTGAACACAAGGCCCCAAACCAGCTACCTGGAGGGCCCGGGCTCACATGCAGCCCAACCATTTCTGCAGAGAGGTGATCTGAGCCCTGGGAACCCAGTGGCTTTTGTTTTCATCAAGGCAGCTTTCAGGGTTAGGCCCTTAATCTTACAGGGAAAAAACATGACCTAGCAAAGAAGGACAATGGACCCTCCCAGGGAAATAACAATAGGCCAAGAATGTGGTTTCTCCTAATCCTGACCTAAGTCGCTTGTTTATTACACCACCACACTATTTACAAACCAAATGGGAAGACCACAGGATAGGGGTGGGTTGGGGTGGGGGTAACATTTCACAAGGTAACTGACCTAGGTGCAAGAAGCAGGTGGAGTTACAATAAAAACAGAAATTCTGGAGCCCGACATTTACTGTGCGGCCCTGAGCAAGCCATGGTCCCACAGAAAGTCTTGGCTTCCTCGTTGGCAAAATAAAGGCCCGAGAGACTGGTGGGGGCCAGTGATGGCTTGTGAAACACCTAGAACAGGGGCAGCACCTGCAGGTCCCAATCAATGGTGACGACGTCATGAACATCTCCTGACAGAAGGAAGTGAGCAGAGCTGGCTGTGCGATGCCTTTCATTAAATCACATCTGATTTCCCCCAAACCCATCCATCATGAAAGCAGTACCAAATACTACCAGTGGCAGTGGGCAGGGCCTCCAGCAAGCTGGTGGCAGAAGGTAAGAGTCTACTCATGGGCACAGTTTAACAAATTCACTTGGAGGAGCTTTCCTACTCTCTCAGATCCTCTCCCCACCCCTCACCCCCAATTATTCCATCGGCCTTCTATGCACCCCTCACTCCATGTCTCCTCTACTGCATCTCTCTCTTGCCCAGGAAGCCAATTCTGGCTCACAGTGACCTCGTTGCTGGAAGTTTTCTTTGGCCCAATCTTTGTCCAGTGATCATCAAGCTGAGGTTTAATTGCAGACTTGGTCAGCGCATAGTCACAGTTCATTCATTCACTGCAGCCATCTGCCTGGGCTTTGGATCAGAACGGTGTCTACCTTGGTCAAGTCCTGCATTTTATAGAGAGAGGGGCCAGGAAACCTGAATTTCCAAAGAGCCAAAAATAAACAAAAGCAGCACCTCTTCAGGACACACCCACGGCATCACTGTCCATCTCGTCAATCCTGCCAATGACCTGACAGCGGAGAGCGAACAGCAGAAAGCGGGAATAACTGGGCCTTATTTACAAGCCTTCTCCTTGGTTTTATGTTAGGGTTCAAAACTGTAGGAAGGTTGACTTGAAAACATTTCAGATGGAAACATGCAGGAGAAAATGCTCATCTCTTAGGTCAGGAAAAATTACATTTAATGGTGGGGAGAAGGGTATAATTTTATTACAGTTGTGCAGTATGTTTGAGAGTAAGAGCTCTCAGAGGTATCTGCATCTTATCTAAATAATATGGGTGGTTGTGTTTGTTTGTTTGTTTTTACCATAACTGTGTGGGTCATGTTTCATTGAGTGTTAAGGAATTCAAAATCATAAGGGAAGAAAGATCTTCATTCATAAATATATATATTATATAAATACATATTATATAATATATAAACATTACATAAATATGTATTTTACACACACATAGTTTGAAAAAAACTAATGTAAAAAGTAAAGGGGGCAAATAAGTAATAAGATATGAAGGAGCCAACCTTTTTTGTTTTTTAATTAAAAAACACCCGGGGAATAGCAGACAACTCCCTGTTAGCAATAAAGACATCAATACATAAGAGGGGGAAAACACACACACACACACACACACACACACGAAGAGTCTATATTGTAGAACTGATTAGTGAGAAATGGTTTAAAAAGAGAGAGGTAAGAACAACAACTAAATTAAATCCTCAATCTAACCTCTATAGTGGCTTTCATTTTTCCTGAGAGCGCTAGACCCGAGGCCGTCTCCAGCAGCTCATGGACTGCACGGCAGCACCTGGCGGTTTGCCTGGCATCACCTTCGTTCGGGGTCTGCCCCAGGTGGTGAGTTCTGACCGTAACTTAAACACTGTTCACAAACTGAGGACTGTGACACATGAACGGGTCATGAAATCCATGTAATGGGTTAACAGCCGGCACTGTTTTAATGGAACAGAACAGACCAAATAGACTAGACTAGAAAATGCCTGGAGTGATATTTTGTGAAACGTGTAAGTGTGTACACATGTACACAGGTGCACACAGATCACAAGGTAACAAACACTTCTAGGAATCTGGGTTCCAAAAATGTGGTAAACACTGGCCGAGGACAACGGTTCCCATGTTTTTTCTTCTTGTCCCTTGTGGGGGATAAGGCCCACGTCCAGCAATAATGAAGGGCTCTCTCAATGTGACACCCCATGCAGGGCGGGGCTGTGCTTGGGGAAGGGGGAGAGGGGGCAGGACCCACATCAGAATGGAGCAGGGAGCTGGATACATGTTCTTGGCAAATTTGAAACCATCCCTTTTGATGTTTCTGATATGTCGTTTCTGAGGGTGTTTCCCACACCAACCACCTCATCCATCCCCTCATCCATAAGGCACCCAGGGTGTGCCAGGCAATGTGGGGACACGTTAGTGAATGCAGAACAGGGCAAACAGGTGCACTCTCCTGAAGCCTGAATTCTGGGGGGGGAGGGGAGGGGGGAGCAGGGAACTATGCAAGACCATGACAGCCCGTACTGGCTTCTGTGAAGAAAATAAAGAGGGTGACGAGTTGAAGGACAGGAGCTGCTAGGAGCCGCGGCCTCCATCCAGCCATGGCGGCCGGGTCGAAGCAGTGGAGATGGAGAAGAGAGGACAGCTTCAGGGCGGGCTCTGGAGAACCAATGGGAGCTGGTGATGGATTAGAACTTAAAGAAAAAGTGACAGGTAAAGAAAAAGAAAAAGAGTAAGTCTTTGGTTTGAGCAACGCAGTGGATCAAAGATTGGGAAAGGGGAAAATTCAGGGCTCATTGGAACATACAAGCTTTGAGACGCTGATGTATTAAGAATGACTGATGGCCCTGGCCGGTTTGGCTCAGTGGATAGAGTGTCAGCCCATAGACTG